AATTAACTAAGCGGGAAGTGAAAATGAATTTTGGAGCCTATTTTTCCATATTGGCGCCAATATTTAGGTATAGTAGACTTACAGTAAAGTCTACTTATATGTAGACGTCTATTTCAGTCTACATTAATTGGTGTTTATCAAAAAATATTTTAAAATTATAATTAACTAATTTGAAAAAAAAATATTTGAAAATTAAATCAATTTTTTTATGAATTAAAATCTGAATTAAAATTTTATCAACAAAATTTTATACTAAGTCTACTAAATATATAATGAAAAGAAAAATTTTAGATTATATATTATAAACTATTTAAACAATAATGAAAAATATTATAGTAGACTTCCAAAGAAGTCTACTTAACCTAAAGTTTTAACCAAAATAATTTTAACCAAAGAGTTTTAACCTAACCAGAAAAATAATTTGACATATAAATACTCTTTCTTATTAAAAAAAAGGCGACAAAAAAAAAGCTGCCTCTCTCTCTATGTCTCTCTCTCTCTCTTCGCCGGACTTGAGGTGGTTTCTGCTTCTTCTGGGTCTAACGAGGATATGACTATTACTGACGTTAGGGAAGGTGAGGAATCGGAGATCGAAGCTCCTCTTCTCGACCCCGAGTCCTACTCCAAGCCTAGGAGAATTGCTCTCTTCGTTGAGCCTTCTCCCTTTGCGTAAGTGTCCTTGCATCTTTCTTTTATACAGACAGTGCTGTCTTGTTGATATGATTTAACATGGTGGTTCTGTGTAATTATGTGTGTATGTTTGGTGATGTCTTGTTCATCTTAGATGAACTATTGCTTAGTTTGTTTGGTTGAGTTCTTGATATTTGCCTATGCTTTTGTTGAGTTCTTGATGATATTATTGCAGGAAACAATGGTACGATCGACGGTCAAGGATCGTTTTGGTACTCTCCTTCTCTAGCCAGCTCGCCAAGCTCCTTCTCTAGTCAGGGTTTGAAGGATGTTGTTGAGCTTCTTCTTGATAAGGAAGCTGAAGTTGATCCTAAAGATCCTTGGGGAAGCACTGTAAGAAAGAAACAAAAAAATCTTTTTTTAGATCTTTGGTTTTGTTGTGTAGTGGAAGTGGAATAGTATCTTGTAGATGAAAAAGCTTGATGATAAAGTTTTAAGCGATGATGATAAAGTTTTAAGCGATGATGATCAAGTGTAAGTGGAATAGTATCTTGTAGATGGTATCATGGTAATAAGGTCTTAGAGTCTAATCGTTTTGGTTTATGTGCGTGCAGGAGGAAGTTCCATGACGAGCTTGCTTTGCTCCAAAGGCTTAGGCATCCAAACATTGTTCAGTTTCTTGGTGCTGTAACTCAAAGCAATCCAATGATGATTGTTACTGAATACTTGCCTAGGGTATGACTTACTCTGCTACATTCTTTTTTTTTTCTTTTTTTTTTTCTCGAAACCAAGATCTCATTTGATGATACATTCTTCAGGGGGATTTGCGTGAATTGCTTAAAAGGAAAGGACAACTAAAACCAGCTACCGCTGTTAGATACGCCCTTGACATCGCAAGGTATGTATCTTCCTCATGTTTGTAATGTTCTTAGAGGTTATAAGAGTCTCTTAAGGCCATGAACTCACACCGTTCCCGCAAGAAACACACAACGTCTTTTATCTTTCTCTCACGAGGTGCTCGTATTTCTCTGTAATAACCCACCAAAAAGAAAACAAATAAAAACTTCCATTGAACTATTGAAGAAAGCTCCTTTTCTTGTCTGTCTTCTAAGCTCAATCCCCTTCTCTCTCTTTCACTATAGAGAGTATTTATTGTAATAATGAGAGTAAATACAGAAACTGTTCTTATCTACATGAGTTTCATATATTCTTCTCTGTTCAACTCCTTTTGTCTGAAGAACAAGATGTTTTATCAACAAATTGCTATAAGAAGACACACAAACCCACCAATATATTAAAAAAATAAAGAAGACACACAAACCCACCAATATATTAAAAAAAATATGAGATGAACAATCTAATGAATTATCTAGAACCAGATTACTCTGAGTTTGTTGAAGTTGATCCTACTGGAAGATATGGAAGAGTATACTTTCTTCTCTTCCATTAACCAAATCTCAATTAGTTTCTATCTTTGTTGACTTTGTTGTTGTTGTTATTGTTGCAGTATAATGAAGTTCTTGGTAAAGGAGCTTCAAAGACTGTGTAAGTAATCAACTCTCTCTCACGTCCTTCTCTTCTCTCTATTTTTTATGGATCTGGTGATGGATTTAACCCTATGCTGTTGTTCTTTTTTTGGTCAAAGCAATAAAGAGATCCACAAAGAGAAACTTTCCTATTGTGAGAAATATCTTTATTTGATCAAAATTACACACATTAAACGTTTTATTTCTTCCTTGATTTTGTAGTTACAGAGCATTTGATGAATATGAAGGCATCGAAGTAGCATGAAACCAAGTGAAGCTCTACGATTTTTTACAAAGACCTGAAGATCTTGAGAGGCTTTACTGTGAGATTCATCTCCTCAAGACTCTCAAACACAAGAACATCATGAAGTTCTACACCTCTTGGGTCGATACCTCTAACAGAAACATCAATTTCGTCACTGAGTTGTTTACTTCCGGCACAAGCTTCTCTTCTTGCAAACCAAGCTTCTTCTCTCTCTCTATCTCTTTGTTCTTTGACTCTTACACGGTAATGGATCACAGGTATAGACTGAGGCATAAGAGAGTGAACATAAGAGCGGTGAAACATTGGTGTAGACAAATCTTGAGAGGCTTATATTATCCACAAAGAGAACCATGACCCTCCTATCATCCATAGCTGCCATTTTAAGAAAGTCCCACGCTGCTCATTGCGTAGGTATATATATACACATCAAACATCCCTACAGTCTTGATTACTGATTAAGTTTTAATGTTTGTGATCCACATTATAGCATAGCTTAATGATGTTATATATCACTTTATGCAGTGGAGTCAAGAAGAGACGATGGAGTAACAAGTGCCTGTGAAGTGATTTTGTTTCACCATGAAGACATGGGGATACCAAGGGAGATTGCAAAGCTTGGAGTGAGAAGAGGAATGTGGGGAGCAGTGAAGATGGAACTTCAATTTTGTTTGAAACTTCAATTTTGTTTAAGAGATCCAAAATGGGGTTGTGGGATAATCATGCTCTTATAAAAAAATTTTATTGGTTATCCCACTGCTTCTTGTCAAGTATATAAGTCTACTTGACAGACCATTCTTGATACTTATTAGTCTTCTTTTTTTGTAGACTTACAAAAAAGTCTACTTAACAAAGAAAAATATAACATAAGTTTATCACATTAGATAACATCCAAAGCAACAATATAGTTTATAAGTTCAACACAGACTAAAGACTTACAAATCCAATAGAAGATAACTCAAAGCAATGAGACACTAATACATAATAGAACATCCATAGCAATAAGACAACTCATAAGTTCGACACATAACACTAACACATCTAGAGTTTTTCACCACTCATTCTCTGTATACAACGAGTAATTGAGCCATTTCCTGCAAAAAAAAAAAAACGGTTTACATAATTAGCAAACAAAAATTTCATGTTTGATAAAATTATAAAATAGACTTACAAGTACATCTACAATTATTAGCAAACAATATAGTTAAACCAAAAATTATATCATAGACTTACAAGTACGTCTACAAATTTTAAGCTAACAACATAGACAAACAAAAAATTTGATAACTTTCTAATTATAACAGATTATCTTCTGAAAATCATTCAAGACACTTATGATTAACTAACACACACTTTCATAAAAAAAAAGTTTTGAAAAAACTTAATGAATAATACACAAAACCACTTTTGATAGATTTTACATGGTAGACTACATATTCAATCTACAGACCTGTAGACGTTTTATTCAGTTTACAAGGTGTAGACTGAACATTAGGTCTACGTTTAGGTTGGTTTCTGCAATTGCCAAATTCACGGGTTACTTTCTGTATTTGAAAAAAAAAAGGATTTTATACGAGTAGACTTACTCTTCAGTCTACATTTTTTAAAAGGTTGGTTTTGCAATTGACCAGAATTCGATCAGAATTTGACTTTTAGAAGTAGACCTATTATGCAGTCTACACTTTTAAATTTATTTGAAAGAGGTTAGTTTTGCAATTGACCAAAGTTGACTTTCTACGAGTAGATAGAACTAAATGTCTACGCAACTGTAGACTGCAGTAAAAGTCTACACTATTACTCGACAGGTTAGTTTTGCAATTGACCAAAACAAAATAGTAGACTTCTTATGCAGTCTACTTTTTTTTTTCTAAGTTTTGTAGACTGCATATGATGTCTACACGTAAAGTAAGTTTTTTTCTAAGTTTTGTAGACTGCATATGAAGTCTACACGTAAAGTAAGTTTTAGTCAAATACAAAAGAAACCTATTCAACGAAGTCAAAGTTTTGGTCAAATGCAAAACTGACCTTCCGTAGACTTACCTAGCAGTCTACAAATTNTTCTTAGTAAGTCTACCAATTTTTTTGTTTTTGGTTTCAAAGGTAAAGATGTTGACGTACTTGTAGGTCTACATTACAAAAAAAATTATTTTGGTCAATTGCAAAAGTAACCTGTGCGTTGACAAGTAGACTGCATCGTAAGTCTACACGTATGTGTAGACATATAATACAGTCTACGTTCGCGATACAGATCAGAGATATGACGAAAAGCATGTAAAGAGTTACCTTGACACCGGTTTAAAGCTTGTTTCCAAGCTTTTCCACTGTCCAGAATCCAAATATGAGCAAAAGAAGCAACCTTTACGATCCACTTGTGGATAAAATCGAAATTATGAAGTTTGTGTTTATGAAAATGAGAGTTATGAGGATTGTTTAGATGAAAATAGAGAGGAGATGAGAGGAAATGAAGTATTGTTTGTTTAGAAAGTGAAATAAGTGGTTGAGATTTCATAAACACAAGCTTAAAGAGCTCATCAATGGTGGTTTTGGGTGGTTGCAAATATTGATGACAATGGCATTATGGTAAATAAGGAGAAATGTTTAGGGTGTAATAGGTTTTTAATAATTTTCGAAAATAAAATTAGATTTAAAAATAATGGCAATTTGGTAAATAAGTGGAAACATGAGGAGAGTTTAGGTTTTTTAAGAGTGAATAGTAATGGACAAAAAAAAAGAGGTTGGTTTTGTGTTTGACTTGAAATTTTAGGTTGGTTTTGCAAAAACTCCCAATATTAAATAGTACTTAAATACCTTTGATTAAAGCTAATTAAAACACAAATCAATTGAAGTTTTTAAATTATAAATAATAAATTTAAAATAATTTAACAGATGATAAAATTTATAATTTCGGTTATACAAATATATTTACAATTTTAAGACTTTAACGATTTTTTATTATATCGTTAATCAATATTAACTATAATAACATATGCGAGAAAAACAAATATGTATCTTTATAAATTGTAACATTTAGTATTAGATTTTCAAGTTGCACACCTATTTTAAAATATATTTTTTGGTTATAATGAATTAGCTACTATTTTGTAGTGTATATATATATATATAATATGTCTGCATTCAAGAAATAAACTTATAAAAATCTACAATTTATTATATCAAAATAAAATAGAAAATATGAAAATAAAATAAAATATATAATTTATTGAAACAATAATAAGAAAATAGCAAAAAACTTTATAATAAAATAGTGAAAGTTAATGTAACTTAACTGCAAATAAATTGAACATTTTTAGTATTTTCATTAAATTGTTTTTAAGAATAAAAATATGATTTTTAAGTAATGTGAACACAAGATTTAAGATTATTATATTATAAGAATTCTAAAAAAATAAAAATGTTACATACTGGCGTAAAAAGCATAACTATACCTTTAGTACCGATACTGAGATTAAATGTACTTTTTTTTTGACATTCCAATCTGGCTTTTATGATTATTTTCCCATCAGCTGAAATATATTTCAATTTATCTTCATTCTTTCATGTTCTTCAGATTTTTCAGCATTTATAATGATGATTTTGATTGTGTGTTTGTCTATTTAGGATGTTGCTTTTAAAATGGTTTTCCTATATACTGATTCTGGGTTTTGATATCCTTACTAGGTGCCGTGCCGAACAAGGGATGTAAGGAGGAGATGAGTGTTAATCGCAGTGAAAAACCAGAAGTGATGGATAACCCATGTAAAAATTTAAAAGTCTGTAGAAAAAAGATGACAATGGTGGAAAATTTCATGAGAGCTTTGCGGAGCAAACTTCTAATAGCTCTAATGGAGGTGCATGTTGAGTAACAGTAGTGGATTTTGACTGTCAGCATAACATAAAAGGGATATGCTTATGATGATGATAACGGTGTAGGATTGGGAAGCTCTTGCTGATGTAGTAACAGCTGAGGAAGAGAATAAGAAATATGATCTTCTCCATGAGTACGTCAAGGAGCAATAGAGTTTGGACAACTTCTGATGTGGGTGATTCCTATCGTGACGCATCATATATTGTGGGTGTTAGAGATAGAAAGCATGATTGACTGAGGATACAATCAAGGAAGCAAAAAAAAATTGACAATCATATTATTTACTGCTTCAGTTATAAGTATTTATTGTTTTGCGTTTAATTATTACTTATATGTCTTTTTACATGCAAGTGATCTGTCAAAAATAATATCTATAGGTAATGCACACTACCTGATATAAAGATCTCTTATTTATAATTTTGGTTGACTCATCAAGCTCTCTCGCTATGTTTTCTGTAAGCAGCATACCTATATATATGTATGTGTGATTTATGATTAATGTCACTGAGAAGCATAAATAATTGGGGAAGAAAATCTTGCTGTGACAATATTGGATTGAAAAAGGTCCATGGATTGAATAAGATCATAGACTCATGAACTGCGTTCTTATCAAATGGCAGTCACTGCTAGAAAATTATCCCCAAACTTGTATTTATTTATTTAATTATCCATATGCACCCATATAAAAAAAAATTTCCAACTTACAAGTTAGTTTCAATACATCCCTATTTTTTAAAAATATAACACATCTTCCCATAAAATCACTAATAAGTTGAAAGGAAATATTTGGAGCTAAAATCATGAAAACTGTATTTATCTTCTACAATATGATAAAGTGAAATGTAGAAAACCTCAAAAAGAAATACATATATAAACATAAATTACATTTTCATAGAAATTTTTCTTTTTACTGAAAATAAATAATTATAACATCGTACATTAATTTCAAATTTTAATTTTAGTATCTGTTAAATCATTTTTTTTCTTCTCACAATAAAATAGTGACGACACGTAAAAATACAATCTATATACAAAAATGTATCTCGAACAAATAAAAATATTTAATTTTGATGAGACAGGTAATTATAAACAATCAAAATGTGAAAATAAAATTAATTAAAAATTATCTAAAT